GTACTTTGTACACTGTGTTCTAATTATTTTTGTCCATGTCTTTTATTTATTTATGTGAGTCAGAGTCTCACTCTGTCACCCAGGCTGGAGTGCAGGGGCAAGCTTACTGCCATCACAGTCTTGACCTGCTGGGCTCAGGTGATCCTTCCGCCTCAGCCTTCCAAGTAGCTGAAACTATAAGCGCGTGCTATCATCCCCAGCTAATTTTTTGATTTTATTGTAGAGACGAGGGCTCACCAAATTGCCCAGGCTGGTCTTGAACCCCTGGACTCAGGCAATCCTCTTGCCTCCGCCTCCCAAAGTGCTGTGATTACAGGCGTGAGTCACTGCATCCAGCCGCCTCACTCTTATTAGATTCTAAGCTTTAACCTTTGCCACATTTGCCCTCTCATCTTACGGATTCATAATACATGAATTCTTTAGCATGTATTTCCTAAGAACAACGACTTTGTCTTAAATAACCACAATATAATACCCTCAAGAAATGGACAATACTAATATATAGTCCAGTTAAATTTCCCCAAAGGTCCCCATAATGTTTATAATTTTTCATCCAGTATTCAAAGACCACGCTGTATTTAGTTGTTATGTTTATTGTGAACTGTTCCCCTGTCTTTTTTGACTGAGTTTTTCTTTTTTTTTGATTGGAGTCTCACTCTGTCGCTCAGACTGGAGTGCAGTGGCCGCTGCCGGCCACCGCAGCCTCGACCTGCCGGGCTCCGGCGATCCTTTCGCCTCAGCCTTCCGAGTAGCTGGAATTACAGGCGTGCACTACCACGCCCGGCTGATTTTTTGATTTATTGTAGAGATGAGGTCTCGCTGCCCAGGCGGGTCTCGAACCCGCGGGCTCAGGCAATCCATTCACCTCAACCTCCCAAAGGCACGGGATTACAGGCTGAGCTACTGAGCCCGGCTTGAAGAATTTTTAATAAACTGAGGTAATCCCTGAAGAAGGGATGAGGAAAGAACACAAAGTAAGAATACAGAAACCAGTGGCAGAAATAAGCCATGGAAACATACTTGGAAAGGGCCCTAACACATTTCCCAGTGGTAACTATTATTCTCTTACACAGGTAAAGAATGGAGTTGCAAGTTAGAAATCAGGTATAGTGTGGGAACAAAAGCCTGTCACACATAGCCCCCTCCCTTTTTTTTTTTTTTTTTACTTCACCAGAATTAGTAAAGAATCCAATTCTCAGAAAGGTGTTTGTTACATCTGCCTGTGAGCGGATTCCCAGCACTCCCTCCCCACATACTTTACATAACTAAGATAACACTGTCTCAACTTTGAGTCTAAGGAAGAGGGAGAATTCAGCTTTCACATCTTGAAATTGGGAAGCCTTTAAAGAGTCGGAAGGGGCTGGGCTCGGTGGCTCAGCCTGTAATCCCAGCACTTTGGGAGGCCAAGGCGAGTGGATTGCCTGAGCCCACGGGTTTGAGACCTGCCTAGGCAACTTGGCAAGACCTCATCTCTACGATAAATGAAAAACTAGCCGGGTGTGGTAGCGCACGCCTGTAGTTCCAGCTACCTGGAAGGCTGAGGCGGAAGGATCGCCAGAGCCCAGCAGGTTGAGGTTGTGGTGGCTGGGAGCGTGCCACTGCACTCCAGTCTGGGCGACAGTGTGAAACTCCAACTCAAAAAAAAAAAGAGTCGGAAGGTTCAAGATACATAGTTCTGTAATCATTGACCAAGTGAAGCAAAAAGCTAGGATAAACAGAAATTCAGCTGATCACCTTGAACTCCAGAAATTAATGGCCCAATGCTTTGTGCATCTGGCTGGAGCCACGTTGCCCACCAGCTGGAGAAGCTATTTCACTTTAATTTTGTAAAATCTTTCAGCTGTCAGAACTGTTTCAAAGACGATTTTTCTGAAAGGAAACAGTATGAAGCAAGACCTGGCTCTAAAGACAAAACAGGAACTGAAGTTCTGGTTGTGTCAAAGGGTAAGTGTTGATTATTCTGAGTCTACCTGGTTATTATTCGATCATCTTTAATGTGGATCTAAATGTGGCACTAAGGAAAATTGCCACAGAAACGGCTTCACATCATAGCACACCAATGGGAGCAACAGCACTGACGTGGCTCAGACCAGGACTTGGGCGTGTGTCCCCTGTGGGTGCTATTCCTGCCACGCTTTGCTTGGGAGCATACTTGGGAAAAACAGTTGTGTAACGACAAAAAATCGCTATCTTTTGGTAGTTAGGTTTGAGAAAGGGGCTTCCAGGTCAAAACACTCTTAAATATAAACAAAACTGGCAGTTTCTCTCTCCCACGCCAGCTCAGGCACGTCTCTCTTTCCTTCCTCTCTTCTAATAAGCTTTGTTTTCAAACTTCAAAAATAAATAAATACAATAAAACTGAACGGGAGAAGGTATAGAATCATGTTTGCAAGATTAGCACTGCTGCTCAGGGCTTAAAACCAGTATGCAAAGCTCACATTTGCACATTTCCATAGTGATTCAGTTATCTTTCAAGGCAGCTGAAAATACAGGCAGAACAGGGTTTCTGAAATTGACTTGCATATTCTCACTCCTTTGGAAAAGGAGGAAATAAGGGGAAAGCACTGAAATAGTGCCAAGAACTTCATCAAAACTCTTAACCTCAGGTACATAGTATTCTAGCTTTCATGAGATACACTAACTGCTGTGCTAAACACTCTTACCTCAAAACTATACCAATATCCGGTCACTCAAAAATCAGGACAGGGACTAATTTTTTTTATTGAAATATTTAGGAACTACTCCACAGTATAGCAGTAGCATATCTAATTAAAACCCCAATACCTCTAATTTGAATGAAAGGAACTGTCCTTTGCTCTAAGGCAAATCAGCTTTGTGGGGCTTTCCGCCTTGCCTTTAACTCACCTATACGTATGAACTGGCTCGGCTGACTTCCCTAAAAGATTCACCTAAGAGGGGAAAAGAAGAGGGGTGTCGGTGAGAAAAGACCCATACCACACCTTGCATTTGAATAAAAGATTTATTTTTTTTCTCAGGAAAAACAGGAAGTTAGGGAAACACACTACATTTTACAACCCACATTACTTTGTAGTTGGTCCTAACCCTTCCTGGCACAGCTGTCGAAAGCACTAGCTGTTTAACCAGAACCAAGGTGTTCACCCCACAGAACGGACATGGACGACGCTAGAGGACTGTATGTTTTTCCCTGAGAGAAGCATAAGACAAACAGAAGTCGCTGAGAGCCATCTTTCCAAGCAACCCCTCCCTTTCCCTTTTGGAGGATTTGCCTGAACTATGCAGCTAGTCAGCACTTAAATCATGTGCCTCCTCCTCCTCTCCCAAACCACTTGGGGTCCCCTAAGCCCTCACTGCCCCGAACCCCAAACATCAAACTAAGATCCTCACTTAGTCACGCCTAGTGAATTGGGGCCCCCAAAACCAACTCACACCTATGCGCTTACTTCCACAACTGCACTTGGGAGACAAGCCTTTTAGTCACCTTAACCAGATCTCAAGATTAATTAAAAACTACATAAAGTGCTTTTAGATTCTTAAAGATAGACATGATATAAATAAGTGGTTTATGATCAAGAACGATAAATACATAGGTAAAAATAGCTCTAGCAAGATGACCTTATGGCTCCAGGATGGGCAGGCAGGGCAATTCTTCCCCATTACATTCTTAGTCATCTTATTCATGCCTATTTTTATCTGGAGTCCAGACTGAAGGTCACGTTCTGAGGCTGAAGCTTTCAAATGACCATAGTTCCAATATAGTAGCTTTCTTCAGTTCACCAGTAGCTTTTATAGAACTTTGAGGTTTAACAGAGCCTACTTCTTTCTGTAAATTTAAGTGAGCATCCAAAAACAAGAGACACTTTAGAGAGAAAGCTACATAAGCTGTCGTTCTCTCCTCTGAAAACTCCTGGGGGACTTTTGATACATTTTCCCCTAAGTCAGGATAAAGCAAACATTGAAAAGATACCAGTCCAAGAAAAAGGGACTTCCTCCCACCCCCAATGAATGACACTGTCACAGCATCCAAGGTACCACCACCTCCCAACAGGACAAAATTCATGAAAGATGCGGACTGTTGACTCTTGGGGGAGTGGGTCACTCAGCTTCCCAGCAGGAGTTCACAGTGCCAAAATCTAAAAGGACTAGTAAAAGTTCAGGGATGGTCAGGTCAAGGTGTAGAAATTGACAGGAATATCTGTAGAGGGGGGCAGAACAAGCAGCAAATATATCAAGGAGGGACAGGAAATAAAAGGTCAGTTTGATAGAACATCAAGTCTGAAACCCAGAGATGCCAATGCAAAAATTTGAAACAAAGTTTGGGAATCATTAATAGAAACGAAACATTAAGTATTTGTTTTATTGACATACTAGGCTTAGACCTGTGTTTAACAAGCAAGCCTAATAATAGCACCATGGTTATAATGTAGCCTGCTTTTCCAAGCCTTCATTTTACAACTTATTAAGCAAACAAGGGATCATATGTCTCTCATCCACCTGATGTGATCTTTTTATACATATACAGCTAATAAGTCCCATTTGGAACAGCTGAAAATCTTTTTGTAAAAGTTTTAAAGATGAGCTCATGAACTCAGTTTAACTCAAATGAGTAGTCGCCCAATCAGAGCCCATTATTTGTATGTCACCAGCCCCCCCACTTAAAACTCCACTCTGACCCAATTATTGAAAACCTACATATAACAAAGTGAAAGGATTTCCACTCATCAATCCCTCAATCTCAGGTTTTCAAATAAAAACCTATCTAAGAAATACCAAAATCAGATAGGAAAATTAAAGCCTGCATAGTTATGAATCAGATTTGTTTGACTACAATCAGGTAGCATACAATTACATCAGTTCTTTCTGTATACACTCTATAACTGAACAGGACGAAGTTTAGCATAGAAAAACTGTAAGAAATAGATTCCTAACTACAGAAGTTGCAAAGTTCAAAAGGGTATGAAAAAAACTAATGTAAATTCGAGACCCCCCCATTTCAAAGAAAAATTTAGAGAGGAAAAGCTTCCCTTCATACTCTGTTGTACAGTACTGAGGCTTCTAGTCATAGTTCTATTACGTATAGCTTAGATCCATTTTACAGGTCACAGGCTTTGTTAGTGCTTATCTTTCAACGCTATGGAAATTAATGAAATTGGTGGGCATATTTAATTAATTCTATGACTAGCCTGGCTAATGGCCACTCTTCTGTTCTCAACAAGAAATTAAGTCTTCCCACCCTATCATTGCCACATAAATCTAAATGTCCTCCTCTGTGGCCTCCCAGTTTGCTTGTTGCTGACACTGAACTTTGCTTCTTTCAGATAGTGACTCTTCAATCAAGGGGAGTACTTTTCCCATGTATTTATTCTTGTTAGCCACAATCCTCTTGCCACTTGCTTTCTGGCTAGGTTGCTAGAGTGGAGCTCTTGGAGGTTACAGCCTGGGCAGCTTGAAGTCCAGCTTCATAAATATGAGTTCACAGACGTTACGTGGTTTTGGTGGCTGTTGTTGGTTAAAAGTCAACTATTGCACTTACAAGGCTATCTTATTAGATATGCCAAACCAGCTCCTACTCCAGCAACACCCGCAAAAGCCAGCAGCACATTTCTGATGCCGCCTTCTAGGTCCTCTACGTGGAAGAACTCCACAAACCCATCCTAGAAAACAAAACAGAAAAGCACACTTTCAAGTACGGGTTTCTGCTGTCTTAACACTATATATTCAGAGAAAAGGTGAATCAAAATTCTAAGGTTTCCCCTCCCAAACAATGATGAACCAATTATTATTCACCCCTGGACTGGGGGGGCGGATTTCTTGAGTTCTTTAGTTAAGTGGGCATCCTTATTTGACTTTACAGTACTACCATGGCCATATGTGGATATTTGGAAAAAAGACGAAAACCCTTACTCTCAAATCCCCACCACCTAATATCTCAACTGTGTAGACTCTGTATCTATGCAATTAAAATAAGGAGCCCCTTAGGAATGTATTTTAGCGACCATGCCAGGTAAGTCATTTCTTCATGGGTTGAAGAATTCTTCACTGGTCTGAAGAATATCCAACTGAATTGGTACAAAATAACCTACAGAAAACCAGGAGTTTAAAACACAATTCAACTAGCGGGGCATGGTAGCGCACCTGTAGTTCCAGCTACTGGGAAGGCTGAGGCAGAAGGATCGCAGGGCCCAGCAGGTCGAGGCTGCGGTGGCCGTGAACGTGCCACTGCACTTCAACCGGGGCGACAGAGTGAGACTCCAACTCAAAAAAATAAATAATTAAATAAAATACAATTCAAGACCACCCTTCCACGAGCTAAAACAAACCCACCGAGCAACCAGAGGTCCAAGAGTGAGAGTCTGGAAACTCTGTCGTGCGTCACAGAAACCTTGAGCTAACCCCACCTTCTCCAAAACCTTCCATTCCATAGGCCCCTCCGGCCTTAAGGCAAACTTACCCAGCCTCTTTGTTTGACTAGCCAGTCCCGTTTTGTCCTTACGAGAACGTCTGTGATACTTTCTGCTAATGGTTCGATGCAGCTTTCTTGGTTTATGCTCTTCAAGTGTTTGGCCACAAAGGCACCAAAAGAAATGAGAGTCACAATCCTGCCCCAGTTTGTTACGCCGTCACTGAAAACATGGACCATCACTCGAGACAAAGATTTGACATCGTCTTCGTTCTTGATGTCCAGTTTCCGAAGCATGCCTGAGAGGAAGAAAAGCATGCAGGTCCTCACGGCCTCCTTTGTCTGAGCCAGCGCACGACTCGCCTGCCCACCCACGGCGGGGAAGTGGCTATGCGGGGCTCGACGGAACTCAGGCCGACCCCGCGTGAGGCTGACATCCCACCCGTTCCGGCCTTTGAGCAGCGCTGCCATTTCCGAAAGAACCAAGACGGGCGGAAACAACGACTCACGGCCAGAATACGCCGGCTTCAGGAACGGGATGAGGCTCGTCCCGACACCGACTCGTTACGGCCTCCGCCCGCCCAGGGCGGGC